GGTTAGGGTGTTTTTCAACCTACCTGTGTTGTCTTATGGTTTAATAGTGCGCAAAAGTCAAGGCTTGACGCTTGCTGACGGTTGTGCTTTTAACAACGACCGCTGCTCGCATGTTTCCAGGGTGTGCCAGCTTAGAGGACGACATGGGGTTGATTTTGAATCGCGAACCGACCCATGAAGTCGGAAACCTTACCCATAGGATCCATGTATGCTATATATGGTAACATTTACCATCAATATACCCCAAATGTTAGCATATATACCATACATGGATCCTATTGGTTATACTGTAAGTCAACCCCAAAAAAGTTCTTTTCCCTGGTGCTCGTGTTGGTCTTGATGCAAAATCATCATTGTCCCCATGATCGGTTGCAAATTGTTTCGCACAACCTAGCCATGGAGTTTCTGTTGCAGGAAAGGTACCTCCGAACCCCCCCAATGTTTACCTTACACAACCAAAACCTACAATGGGGGTTGATAAGTTGGTGTATAAACCCTATGAACTATAGTTATAAGATGTTATAAGATGTTATAGGTATCATAAACCATAGTTATTGGAGTTATAAACCAACAAGTTGCCCTTCTGCCGATGTTTCCATCATGGGACTCCGCCAGAATGGCCATGAGCTGCAGCGAGCGCTGGACATTTTTTCAGAGGTGAAACACCGATGGAGACCGGGAAGTCTGGGGCAAAGCGCGATTAAACCATGGTATATTTCGACGTAATGTATACATACCATGGAATTTGGTATTCACCCAACAAAATTCGGTATATATCGGCGATTCTCACAGTCCATACAGAGGGTTGTGAACAACTTCTACATAATGTATTCCCATGTGACTATCATCCAGTATATGGCGAGAACTCCCAAAATATATATATATATAATGATTTTAAATCATTCTTCCCATTACATGGACATTTGGAACGTGGATTGACTCACACTTTCTACGGCACCTGTCAGCGCGTTGCTTCCACCCTCCATTGGGCCATTTGGGTGGCGAATGTTAGCGGCTTACGTAGGCTTACGTGCCCTATAATTCTCCATGGGATATCGGATATTACCAACATTGTCCTTGAAAACTGATCCGTTCATGAAGGGTACATGTAATTAGTATACACAGCACTATGGAACCAACGTATTGCCATGTTGAACCTGCGATTCTTCTGCAGATGCTGGCAGAGGGGACCATTGTCATGGTGAACCAGGGCATTATCCAGGAGGGACAATGGGGTTCTGCAGCTTTTTGGATGTGCATCCCAGCTAGTAAGTGGAGAATCATCAATAAATACCATTCCATATCTGTATGTATATATAATAATTACATATATAAATATATGTATTATATAAATATAAATATATATATATATATATGTATAATATATATATGTATGATATATATATATGTATAATATATATATATGTATAATATATATATATAATATGTGAGTAGGTATATACAGATTCTCTATGCTACTTTTAAGATGGTTTCCATCACTTGGGATGCCGTCGGAAAGTCGGGCTGCGTGATTTGACCAACACAGATGTGTCTGAAAATGGGATATCCCTTCAAATGGCAATCTAAGAATATCCAATTTTCAGATGATGTCTAAATTTGGCATATCCCCATTCATCCCGTCACTCATAGTCACTCATATCGCAACTAACGGGATATCCCCTAATGGGGAAGATGATCCAGTGACTCCAGAGGAATTGGATGTAGATAGGCCCCGGGGGATGGGAGATCCCATGGCCTTTTTTGAACTCGGAGCCAGCAGAAACGAGGAAACCTTGGATGGTCATGGGATGTTTTTCCATTTCCATGAAAATTCTGCCCAAACAGCCAGCAAACATCAAAAATCATGCTCAGTATCAGAATTATCATACGGATTGGCAGCGCGATCGCTTGCGGCAGATTTCAATCAACTTATGATATTCATGTGGGGATAGATCAAAACTTATCTGGTTGGTGGTTTGGAACATTTTTTTTGCCGAATAGTTAGGATGATGATCCAATCTGACGAACTCCATCGTTTTTCAGAGGGATTGAAACCACCAACCAGTTATGAAATCCATGAAATCCACGAAATCTTTTGATACTTCACCTGGGGATTTGGGAAAACCATTGGATCTCGGTCATGTTTGCCATGGCTGCCGTGTGGTGGGAAATCCCCGAGCGGAAGTTAGCGGGAACTCAATGGTTCGGTAGGGAAACATGACGGGAAAGCCTAATTTTTTTGGTAAAAAACAATGTTTTTTCATTGTAAAAACCATGGTTTCCGGTGAAGATTTTTCCCAACAAACCCATTGAGGAACATATGAAAAATCTAAACGGCTGATTCTTCCATTGCAAGTAGACAACATGGGATAAACACCTACAAATGGTTCACAAAATCGCTATCTTAACTGCAAGCGATGGCTATCATTATCAAGCAACAAATTGACGATTTCCTGAGGGGTACTTGGATGTGCATAATACCCCCTAATGCGGTTAACCCATATATAACCCATTCATCTAAGTGACTTTCACTTCGTCAACTCCCATTTTTCATTTGGTTGAATATCATACTCTTGGTTATCTGATTATACATATATTTAGGGATATTTTCAACTGGGATACACACGACAGGGTTATTGCCATAGAATTGAATATGTTTCTATTATTATCCATCATCCAGATCATCATTATCACAAAACTATCCAGGAAATAAGTTTGAAGCGATCCATCGTTGTAATAGAAAATGAAAGTTATATTTATCCATCATCATACAGATAGATCATTACTGGGAATGAATCGGTTTTGGAAGGATTAATTACAATCACCCATCATCATGCATGACAAATGGAGCATTACCTGCATTGGTGGATGCGAAAAAAAACCTGAGTGATCAGCAAAAAGATCATGATCTTTTCGACAAAAGACGAGGAGATTTCCCAATGCAATGTTTGATTACCAAAGGGCATTCCAATAAATATCCCATTATTAACCAATATGACTCCATTTTAAAACTGGATTCGTTTGCCATTACCACTCCAAGTTTACTTGGGTGATGGATAATGATGGAAAATATCAGATTCAATGGTAATAAATGGGATATTACAATATATTCTGTATTATCAATGGATTGGCTTGAGGTATAATTGAAGCGGGAAACCCGCTGATTGATGGTAAAAGCCATGGGTTCCGGTTAAGATTTTGCCTTAAACCATTCCATTCATTTTAACGAATATGATGTATTAATTCTCATTTTCCTAAAAACTCGATCGGTGATACCACTGGTACCCTCTGGTAAACATACAAAATGCTATGGAAAAATGCTATGGAAAATGGTCCATAGAAATAGATGGTTTACCGAACTTAAAAATTGTGATTTTCTAGTTCGCTATTTTGACATAACCAGAGGGTAAATGGTAAAAACCATGGTTTCCTATCAGTTCCTGTTGATGCCATTAGCTGGTTGGTGGTGTGGAACATCAGTTTTATTTTCCATTTCATATATGGGATAATCCCAACCCCATTGACGAACTCATATTTTTCAGAGGGGTAGGTTTACCACCAATCAGATCATTATTAACCATCATTAACCATCATTAACCATATAAGTTAGGTAAACCCAAAGGGCTTCGTCTATAGGAACCAGATCTGAGGGCTAAGAGCCTTACATAAACCAAAGACGTAAAGAACCAACATAAAACAACGTAAACGCAACATAAAAGCAAACACACGTGAATCATAAACACATCGGAAACTCATCATAAACAGAACGCAAGTGAATCCACAATAAAACATAAAACGATTCATCAACAAAACACAAATGAATCCACAAACCATTCTGGCAGTCATGTGTCCCAACTGTCGCGCACGTGTTTCCATCTTCTCTGGAGGTGAGCGGAGTTATGTGACACAATGTTTGCTCAGTGTTTCACTTGTGTTTGACATACGCTTTGTTTGCGCAGCACTTGCGTCAGGCAAAAGTCTAAGATCTTATTCTGGGAAAATAAGATCTTAGGATTTTGACATACATAAAAAAACACAAGCGAAACACAAACAAAACATAAACAAAACACAAATGTAGCATAAACTTGTTTATGTTTTTGTTGCGTTCTGTTTATGTTTTGGTTTCTGTTTTGTTTGTGTTTTTTGTGTCAATTATTTGCGTAAGGCCTTATTTTTATGTTTTTTTGTGCTTTTTTGTGCAAACAAGCATAAAAAAGCACAAAAAAAACATAAAAATAAGGCCATACGCAAATCATCGACAAAAAAAACAAATCAAACAAAAACAAAAAATAAACCAAAACATAAACAGAACACAAAAAAACATAAACAAGTTTATGCTACATTTGTGTTTTGTTTATGTTTTGTTTGTGTTTCGCTTGTATTTTTTTATGTATGTCAAAATCCTAAGATCTTATTTTCCCAGAGTAAGATCTTAGACTTTTGCCTGACGCAAGTGCTGCGCAAACAAAACGTATGTCAGACATATGTGAAACATGTGGGAGACATCAGTTTCACATTGGCTGCAGGTTTGTACCAGGTTTGGATTTCAAATTGGCAACTGCTTGACACAGGGGGGACGGCCAACTCATGTTTCACATATGTTGCAAATTTCACACACATGTTTTGCTTTATGTGTCACTTATGTTTCAATTATATTCCATTTATGTTTCGTTTGCGTTCCACATATGTTTTGTCTTATGTTTGACATATGTTTCATATACGTTTCACATATGTTTCGTTTATGTTTCACATATGTTTTACTTACGCCTAGACATAGTTTATGTTTACGTCATGCCCCGTCCACCCTCTATAGAAACCATTCCTGGAGCCCCTTTGGATCAAGCTAACATATAAGTACCATATATTAACCATATAATTACCATATATTAACCATATAATAACCATATAATAACAATATATTAACCACCAACCAGCTGGTTAAAAGCCATGGGTTTCCCGTTGACGACAAGCCATCGTGGTCCCCGCCGCAACGGATCGCTCCAGGAAGCGGATCGACGAATCCTCTTGGATCACCGGGTCGAGGCAGTCTTGAAGCAGGCGCGGTCCCGCGGCGGTCAGTGATGTTTTTTTGTTTAAGATTGGTTAATGGTTTAGATAAGGATTTAATAGTTGGTAATTAATCGTGGTACATAGTGGTATATAGTATTGGATTCTCGTGGTATATAGATGTATATATATATATATATTAGTAGTTTAATAATGGTTAATGATGAAAATAGTGGGACATAGTGGTTGATAATGGTTTAATAATGGTTTGATAAGGGTTTAATAATGGTTAATAGTGGTGAATGATGGTGAATTATCCTGGAGCTAGCTGATATCATAGGATATGTGATATGTATATTAACACTTGAATGTGTATATATATATATATACATGTATCAAATAGCAAACTTAATCATTGTGATATTTGTGTCCAACAAAATGTGGGGATGTCATCGAGAAAATGCTAAGGAGATATAATGCTGGGATTCAACCAACTGTTTCACGAGATATACTTTGATGTGGCAATAGCACTACTAAGCAAAACTGTGATATTTGAGTTTTATGTTGTCAAATGTTGTCAACATATCTTGAGTTTTTCCCAGAATTTGTTGAAGGATGTTGAAGGGAAAATTGTAGGACACCCTGACATTTGATGCGTTAGAGAACTACGTATGGTTACCCTCAAGTTTTCCCCTTACAGAAAACCAATCCATTGATGTTTAGCTGAACAAACAGACAAAAATGAGATATTGCAAAAAGGACTTGGAGTGTTTTCGGTAGTCAAAGAGCGCGTTGAGAAATCTCTATCAATTTCGATGATTTCTTTGCCTGTCTGCCTCCATTGATTCATTGATCTCACGATATGTGGTATATACTTGCGGCTACTTTAAACCACATTGACCTAATGAAGTTTACCAAAAATTGCCACATTTAAAGTTTGGAAGTTATTAGGATTACACTAGTGACATTCAAACAACAAGTGTTGGTATACAGCCAAAATGGGAATGTTGCAAAAGAGAGGTGGTGTTCGGGGCGACGACGAGAATTCAAGGGACAGAAATCGGGATTTTGTATTGTAGACTGTTCACTCTCCTTTGCACCAACTGTGAGCTTAACTACCGAACATGATTTTCAGGATTGTAAGGAAATGGAGTAAGTTACCCAGTGACGTTGTGTAAGAGTTGTCACTACCTCACGGAGGGATAAATGATGAATCATAGTTGGGTGAAGTAACCATTGCTATGATGGGGACAAATGGCAACATTTCCAGATACCAATTTGGATACAATCTCCATATTCCGTATTACATGATAGCTATGATTATCTAATGGGATGGGGGCATGACAAGGTCAATATTTACCAAGATATAGTTCTTGTAGTTTACCAAGGCGGAAAGATGAATTGTACCCTACATAGCACTGAAGCTATGGCTGTGCCTCCTGCCCAGAATTTTGTGCTGATGCAAAATTGGGAGACTAACCAAGTGGTGGGCTGGTGGGCCCACACAGAGCGCAATCAGCTTGGGATTGGATTGGTGTCTGATTATTTTCCCGAATTTGAGGCGCAGCAGAGGGAAGCAGATGGAAGCGTGGTGGCTGTGCCAGAGATGGTCCCCCACCATGAGCATAGGAATGGCTATTTTTTCTCAGATTGCCAGGCCCCAAACCCAATAAAGTGCTCTTCCACCGCCAGCTCTGGCAAGACCTGAACAACGGTGATGTATGGAACATACAACCAATATAATATACAGTATTGAAGGTTGGACAGAAAAATTACTTTACTTCGTGTGATCCCCACCATGACATTTATACATTTTCTTACTGGCAAATCTTCTGGCATTCTATCTGACATATCTTCTGGCATTCTATTTGGCATATCTTCTGGCATATGTTCTGGCATATCTTCTGGCATTCTATCTGGCATATCTTCTGGCATTCTATCTGACATATCTTCTGGCATTCTATCTTTCATTCTATCTGGCATATCTTCTGGCATATAATCTGACATATCTTCTGGCATCTTATCTGGCATTATATCTGGCATATCTTCTGGCATATGTTCTGGCATATCTTCTGGCATATCTTCTGGCATTCTTTCTGGCATATCTTCTGGCATATGTTCTGGCATATCTTCTGGCATATCTTCTGGCATTCTTTCTGGCATTCTATCTGGCATATCTTCTGGCATATTATCTGGCAAATCTTCTGGCATTCTATCTGGCATATCTTGTGGCATTCTATCTGACATTTTTTCTGGCATTCTATCTGGCATACCTTCTGGCATTCTACCTGGCATATCTTCTGGCATTCTATCTGGTGTATCTTCTGGCATTCTATCTGGCATATCTTCTGGCATTCTATCTGGCATATCTCATGGCATAATATCTGGCATATCTTCTGGCATATCTCATGGCATTTTATCTGGCATTCTATCTTGCCGTTGAGGTCCAGCGGTGCACACTGAGCTGAAGGTCCCAGGTTGAGGTCCAGCGGTGCACACTGAGCTGGGAAGGTCCCAGGTTGAGGTCCAGCGGTGCACACTGAGCTGGGCAGGTCCCCGGTTGAGGTCCAGCGGTGCACACTGAGCTGGGAAGGTCCCCGGTTGAGGTCCAGCGGTGCACACTGAGCTGGGCAGGTCACAGGTTGATGTCAGCGGTGCACACTGAGCTGGGAAGGTCCCAGGTTGAGGTCCAGCGGTGCACACTGAGCTTGGAAGGTCCCAGGTTGAGGTCCAGCGGTGCACACTGAGCTGGGAAGGTCCCAGGTTGAGGTCCAGCGGTGCACACTGAGCTGGGAAGTTGGCAAATGGCAAAGAGCTTGGCGAAGAGTTGGCAAGGCGGAAGTTGAGGTGCAAGTTGATGCAGACATGGTCGAGGAGAAACTGGAGGAGGAGGCAGAGGAGGAGGAGAAGGCGGAGGACGAGGAGGAGGAGGACGAGGAGGACAGCAAGCCGAGGAGGAGAACAATTCTGATAAAATCTAACAACCTTCACCTGGCAGGTGGGGAAAAACATATTTGTGGATTTCACTGCCTTTCAAAGATCTTCAACTTATCTTGCAATATGTTGTTTCTCTTGATTGAATCGGCTTTTATTCCCCTTGCGATCATGATCCCCAACGGACTAATCAAACATGGCAATTGAAACCCCTCCATCTCTAGATGATTTTTCCATTTTCTTTTCAAACCCTTCGTTTCAAAGATCAATTCCCCTTGCTGTGACACCGGAGGGTATATAAATTTCAGCCGGATAAGAAAATGGTCGCTCCCGCCAGATTCAACTCCTTGAGCTCGAATGCACATTCAACAGGAAATTACTTCACTTCGTGTGATCCCCACCATGGCATTTATACATTTTCTTACTGGCAAATCTTCTGGCATTCTATCTGACATATTTTCTGGCATTCGATCTGGCATTCTATCTGGCATATCTTCTGGCAGATGTTCTGGCATATCTTCTGGCATTCCATCTGGCATTCCATCTGGCATATCTTCTGGTATTCTACCTGGCTTATCTTCTGGCATATGTTCTGGCATATCTTCTGGCATTCCATCTGGCATTCTATCTGGCATATCTTCTGGTATTCTACCTGGCTTATCTTCTGGCATATGTTCTGGCATATCTTCTGGCATACCTTCTGGCATTCTATCTGGCATATCTTCTAACATTCTATCTGGCATATCTTCTGGCATTCTATCTGGCATATCTTATGGCATTTTATCTGGCATATCTTCTGGCATTCTATCTGGCATATCTTCTGGCATTCTATCTGGCCGTTGAGGTCCAGCGGCACACTGTGCTGGGCAGGTCCCAGGTTGAGGTCCAGCGGTGCACACTGAGCTGGGAAGGTCCCAGGTTGAGGTCCGGCAGGGAACACTTGGCGTGGATACTCGCGGTTGAGGTCCGGCAGGGAACACTGGTCGTGGATGGTCGTGGTTGAGGTCCGGCAGGGAACACTGGGCGGGGATGGTCGTGGTTGAGGTCCGGCAGGGAACACTGGGCGTGGATGGTCGTGGTTGGGGTCGGACAGAGAACACTGTGCGTCGAGGGTCGCGGTTGAGCAGGAGGAGGAGGAGAGGAGAGGAGGAGAGGAGCAGGCAACTGACATAAAATCTAACAACCCTCACCTGGCAGGTGGGGAAAAACACATCAATCAACTCATTGTAGATCTGTGTAGATAATGATAGTTTATATATATATATATATATTTACACGTGAGATACGTTCAAAATCAGCGAAGACTACTTTAGAAAGGGACGGTCCAGTTGTGTTGAGAAAGGGCACCAAACCATGTAAAGCGATAGGCCCCCTCTCCAAAAAGCGATAACTTGTAACCATACGAGAGTGTATTAAAAATGGTGTAGACCAAGCACATATTGTTGTGTGCCTTCACGCGATGGGCAAAATTGATGACTACAATTCGACCTGCAGTGCCCACGCTTCTTGCAGTTGCCATATCATTTGTTGTCCAAGGTGATTAAACCGTTGCTTTTTGCAGGCAGTTTGTTTTTCTTCTCCTAGGTCCCAAAGCAGTAGAATTAAACTAAACTAAATGCAATTGAATTATGACATGAATCACACATAGTTTTAAATCTAATATTGAATTCCGTTTATGTGCTTTAATTTGATTTGAATTTATTCTTACTTTATTTCCTTTTTTTTGCTTCCCTTTCCTTTTAAGAATAAATCCAAATGAATTCTGAAGTAAATCAAAACTGCTTTTGAATCCAATTCTGAATTCCACTTATTTCATTTTATTTCATTGTTGCTTGATTTGTCCTTTCTTCTTCCTTCGTTTCCTTTTCTTGTTCCTGAATTCCCTGTTCCTTTTATTTACGGTAACGACATTTAAATATGTGGTTCCAGACAGAAAGGCCCCGGAGGTAGTATGAAATACCAGTTCGTATATTTAAATGTAGTTGCAGTATGTTTAAATGAACTGGATTCCGTATGTTTAAATGGCTGGGCGGGCCAAAGAAAACCTTCCCGGAGGTAGTCTAAAATACCGATTCGTATATTTAAAAATCCGTATGTTTAAATGTAGTTACCGTATTTATGTGTTCAATTGTCCTGTTTATTCCGCGTTCCTCTTTCTTTCCTTTCTTGATCATCAGGGTATTCTAATTTAGCGATAACCTAGCGATAAGCTTTTGTTGAAAAAAGACTCATTTGATCCCAATGAGAAGAAGGGCTCAGCAAAAAAGTGAGCAGGTTCTCAACACTAGGCCATCAGGTTGTTTTGAAACTTGGGGAGCCTTATACACCTCTTCATAGCTACGAACGCTTCTTTATCGGATCGATGAGGTCCCATCTTCAATCTCTAAAGCTTTTGAGCGGGGACTCGTGGCGTTTTCTCACGCCGCTACTTCATCAACCAGGAACAAGGGCGACGTCCCTTTTTGATCCTTTTTGGTTTTCATAGATGTATTGATCTTAAAACCGATGGGAACCATTGATCTTAATTAATTACTGTCATTCTAGTTCGGAGTTGAGATTGCAATCAGTTTCCTTGCTTAGGAAAGAGTCTAGGAATGTGCTTAGATAGCTCCCCAACATGGTTGCAAACGCAAAGACAATGAGCGCCCCTTAATCCATCGGCAACAGTTTAGAGATCTGAATCCGTGAAGCCAATCCTGCTGTAGTAAAGCGATAGGGTCCCCCCCAAAAAGCAATAGCCGATATTTTCGTGCCAAGCATCAACAATTGATTTTGATGGCGCCTCATTTATCATTCTTAAAAGTACAATATATTAAATACATATATATATATATTGAAAATTATTGAAGCATATTAAAACTGTGTTTCTAGAAGATCGTCACAAAGTCCACGGCAGGGGGACTACTCCATGGAAATGGACATCGAGATGGCCGGCATCAGTCGTTCCGTGGAGAACGTGCGAAGGTGCGGCATGGCATGGCATGGCCGTGGCGAACAGCGGGGCTGTGGCTGGCTATGGCTTCCATTGATTGTTTACCATTGGTTAATTAATGTGTATAATATATATATATATATTATAATATTATATATATATTATATTATTATATATATATATATTATATATGATTTGATATTTATTTATATATATATATATTTATATTTATATTTTTTCATTTTGAATGTTCCCATTTTTAATATTCCGATATTCCCGTTCATAGCTGATGTTCATATGGCACTAACCTTCAAGTAATGAGGATATATGGAGGTTTCCTGAAATAAGTTCTTATAAAAGAAAAGAGGGATGGTTGATGATTAGTTCGGGGGCTCTAGTAACTGGGATTATCATAGTCCATTCCGAGAATTGCCTCTCAACCAACCAGACTCATGGAATGATTCTCTGAGAATATAATCCGTTTACCCCGCGGTAATCAAACATGGCGTGCTGGAAAATACACGATTTAGTTCGGTGATGTTCCTATTGAAACCCCCATTTCTAGTGGATTTCCAATTGCCACGTTTGATTACCGGAGGGTATTGAATTGGGAAGTTCCCGATCACTATAAATTCCCATTAAATCACCTCGAAACGGTCGCTGGAAATCGATGTCTCCAGGTGTTCCATCGAGGATGAAATGCCTACGACTGGTGATGAGAGTCTTGGATCTCCGCAGGACGTTGTGAAGAACTCGTTCGTGTTGGGTATCTAAAGTCATAAAATGGGGTATACCTTTTAAATGGCAATTCATTTAGATAATATATATATATATATATATTTATATAAAGATAACTATAAATACATATATATATATATATGTATATACATAAAATACATATATATATATATACATATACATATATATATATATAATTTACATATACGTATACAGTGCGTTATTTCACCCAGTTTTTTGGGGGCAGAGCGGAGATGTCCCCATGTCCCACAAAAAAAGCATCCCGTTGAAGCCTCACCCCAATGAAATCCCAACATACATCCATACCATTTGGTAAACTAACAGTTCGCTATGGAAAAACACCATCTTTAAGTTCGGTAAAACAACTATTTCTATGGACCATGTTCAATAGCTATGTAACAAATTACCAGAGGGTAATTGATTCCATCTCCATTCCGATTCTTGTTCACTAGATGACTTAGATGATCATGAAAAGCAGTTATGAACTTTTATAATTATTAGTATTTGTTTAACCATTAAACCATTTAATGTCACTAATTATTTCACCACCAACTGTTTCTTCATTATACCGTGGATCAAATATTGTTCATGTATGTCATGTCACCATAAGATCACTATATTTAAGCAATGTATGTTCCCCTTTCAGAAAACCAATGTGAAGCCAAACGGTAGTTTCCCAAGCACATGATTATATAGTTGCTGTTCTGAGCTTATGATAGGGTCACAAACTATATGTCCTTTTGCTTTTCTTATAGTTCGCCATGATTTTCCTTTGATTTTCTAGGGTTTTCCACTACTTTCATCTATTTTCCTTACGGATTGTCCTATTTTTTTTCCCAGTGGCTGGCTCACCCTGGGGCCCAGCGGCGCGGAGCCAAGGATTAGCTTGATCCACCTCCGGAAGGCCATGGCGGATGCCGCCATGGATGAAGATCAGTTGCAGCTGGTGGGAGCCCGATTTTTGGGTGACGACGGTGATGACACTGGATGGACCGAAATGGGTTGGGAAATGGGAAATGGGAATTAATGATGGTTAATGATGGTTAATGATGATTAATGATGGTTAATGATGGTTAATGATGGTTAATGATGGTTAATGATGGGTAATGATGATTAATGTTGGTTAATGATGATGCATGATGATTAATGATGATTAATGATGGTTGATGATGGTTATTGATGATTAATGATGGTTAATGATGGTTAATGATGGTTGATGATGGTTAATGATGATTGATGATGGTTAATGATGGTTAATGATGGTTACTGATGGTAGAATATATCTGGTTGGTGGTTTGGAACCATGGAATTTGGATTGATTTCCCATTCAGTTGGGAATGTCATCATCCCAACTGACGAGCTCATATTTTTCAGAAGGTTGAAACCACCAACCAGATGAGAATTTGAAGCAAATGCTGGTGGGGGCAGAAAATTCTCCTTGATTTACTCAAGAATCCAGACTCCCATGTCAAACATTGAATTCAGAGGGGGGTGTTTAAGATGCTTTACGAAGAAAACTGCTAAGTTTCATCAACAATGGTGATTTGAACAAGCAGAATGATAGCACAACTGCCAGTGATTGTCAACGACAATTAGGAAGGCAACAAGACTGAGCCAAATGAGGGACGTTGGTCAGCAAGCAAATCGTGATATATGGTGTATGCGGGTGGGATGACCCATCGCGAGGGAATTGACACATAAGAATGGCGAAGCAGGAAACATGGATAATTAAAGTATTGTAACTACAACAAAAGGGGATATGGATTTCAACAATGAACAGTACAAGTTCAGCCAAGGTTGCATGTTCCTAGAGGTTGAAATAAGCACCCATGCACCCTGGTTTCATTTTTTGGACCAGCTACCACCCTTGTTGGATGTTTCCTGTTAGCCATACCCAACTCTCGGTTGATTTGTTTACCATTACGATGGTGATTTAACCAACAAAATGTGGAGGTTACGATCAAATATTGAAATCCATCGTTGATACTATGTTGATATGATGACTGATTGTTGGTAAAAATCATGATCATGTCAACCAAAAGGATTAATAAACATTACTAGGCTGTTGAAATCTGGGGTACCATTTTCAGTAGCCATGGCTTACTATTTGGGGGAACCACCACAAGAATGAAAATCAACCAGGGTTTGCTAATCCGTTGACATTGGTTCTACCACCTGATAGGGGTTGTTCACCCACAATTTCCGGTCGAACTCACCGAGGCCATTTTGAGTTTCGTGCCAGCGCCTGAGAAGGGCAAATGTGGAAAAACCCGTTAGTTCCAGTGGGTTTTCCGAAGGGTTTTCCCCATGAAATAGTGAACCAAAAAAACACATCCCCAATCTTCAAGTGTTTTTTGGGGTAAAACTGAGGGAATGAAAATATGAACGGGTCTTAAAAATGAAAAACTATAATTCAATAGGGGGATTTAAAAAAAAACAAGGGCTATTATGTAAATCATCCCAGTCGCAGAGGTATACAGAATAATAACCAGTAATGTAACAAACATGCATCCGCGATAAAATCCACCACAGAATGGTAGAATCCAGGTCCACGAAAAAAAATTAAAGTGCCGCCTATTCTGTATTACTAGATCTGCTTGGTGGTTCGGAACATGAATTTTATTTTTCGATTCAGTTGGGAATTTCATGATCCCAACTGACGAACTCCATCATTTTTCAGAGGGGTAGGTTGAAACCACCAACCAGAGATTTCATGGGACTTTTATGGATTTTTTTTACTTGGAGTTAATGGTGAATAATGGTGGTTAATTCAATGGCCATTTCAGGATCCTAAATTGGAGGTACTTACCATATTATAAGGCCTATATAAGGCCTATGTAAGGGAACATCTTCCCAAAATAGGGCCTTATATGGTACAGTACCTCCATTTTAGGATCCTGGAATTCCCATTGATTAATTGAAGCCACCAACCAGAGATAAATCAACCTCAAAGTGGAGATCCTTTATAGCGAAAGCTGGCTATCACCCCTTGGGCCGTCGAAGGAAACATATCGCCAGTGTGACATGGGAAAGTCTGCAGTCGCTGGAAACATCAACGGGGCATGTTCCAGCCATGGTTGATTACCAGACAGTTTTTTGTTTTCCTTCCATGGATGTTTTTTTTGTGGCCCCAAATCAGTCTACCAGTGTAATATTAGAATCAACTGAACTACCATTACTAACTTTATTGTTTTTTTTGGGGCAAAAAATATGTGTTGCCCCATCAGAGATATTTTATCAGCGTATCTCGCAGATCTCCTTGAAAAACTGTCAAAATAGGTGGGTCAAAAATTGGGTAGCCCAATAAAAGGAGATGGTTACTGGCTGGTGGTTTCAAACATGTTTTTCCATTTCATATATGGGGTAATCCCAACCCCATTGACGAACGCATATTTTTCAAGATTGTTTTTTAACCACCAACCAGATCTATTCAGAATACAATCTGTGGTCCCATAGGGCTTCAAATTAGATCCCCATCTCATTGTGGCTAGATCTAGCCTTTTGTTTGGAATCACCAGTCTTCCGACCTTGGATCAAATCCTGAAAATATGACGCAACTCCACAAAGAGGTGATGATAAAGCAAGAAAACACTATGCCAGAAATCCATTTGATATTCTGGCTGGTGGTTTGGAACATTTTTTATTTTCCATAATATATGGGATAATCCTTCCCATTGACTAATATTTTTCAAGATGGTTAAAACCACAATCCAGTATGTATATATAATATATATATATATATATTTGCTATATATATATTATAGATTTACTATATAATGATACATTATGATATGAATCCATTATGATACACTATTTTTAATTCACCATTTGTTTTAGACCTGCTTTCCACAAATCCCATCGTTTTTAACGGCTACGCGTCACATCAAAATCGGCCCACTTCTGCGGTCGATCAAAACCCCAGTCAGACCTCCATTAGACTCCCATTGAACAATCATTGTTTGGTGGTCAAATCAAGATATATCAGATATATCATCATCGTCAATGTTAAACCATCATTAGTGATCTTTGAGTCATGTTAAACCATGATAAGCCAGCGGCTCTCCAATTACACCATCATGTTTGACGATCAATTAATGTTAAATCATCATGATCCAATGACTCTCCAACTAAAATCAGTCATTATTGATGGTAAAATCACAGTATCCTCATCATTTTTGGTATATACTTCATGACATCACCATTAAATTTTCCTCAAACCCCAATTAATTCACCATTCAATCATCACTAATCATTATATATATATATATATACATGACACAGCTATACATATACATATCATATGTAAATATATACATATGTATATTATATATATATATTAAAACATACATACATGAATACATACATACATACATAAATACATACATACATACATTACATTACATTACATTGCGTTACATTACATTACATTACATTGTGTTACATTACATTACATTACGTTACATACATACATATTTATATTTACATATTTGTAGTAAAATTGATAGAAATATAGTTTGATGTATATTTATTTTTTATGCATACATACATAACACATATATATATATATATGCATAGTTTATATTTATATATTTATTTATATATATATATATACATATATATATATATATACATATATATACATCTGTATGTATGTATACATATGTATGTATAAGTATTTTTTATTTTTACATATACATATATCTATTTACATGTATTAATATCAAGTATATATCATAATGTATCATTGTAGTCTTTGTTAAACCACCATTATTCATGCTTGAAATGATTTACCAGCCGACACATCGCCCGAGGAATTCGTCCAAAGTGGTCCGGCAGAGCTTCGCAGGACAAGAGCTGCTGGAAAAGGCCAAAGGCCTACAGGAGCCCTGGATGAAAGGCTGTGGAAAATCCTAGTTGAATGGGAACAAAAAAACATGGTTTTGTTGGAATTAAACCATCAATGGGACATAGTATCCATGGTCTAATATACAAAACCCAATTGTATATTGTTTGATGGGAAAGAAACGGTTTATCATAGATGAAACGTGGTTTGTAGTGGATATAGAATGGATTAATCGTGGTTTATTATGGTTACTGATTGCGAATGTGTCTTAATGATGGTTAATGATGGTTAATGATGATCAACATTTGGGTCAACCAGAGATGGTGAGGTAACCATCATACTGATCGGGACTGACGATCGGCTTTAATCAACGAAGATACACGGAGTTGACCGGAGAACATTTGCACCAACTGGTGAAGGGCACAGTTATTTCCAAGCCCTGATATATCGCGTGTGTGAATGGTATCAAACGTCACCAACAGAAAACTAAGGTGAATTAATCCAATTGTGATTCCTGGGAACTTTTTCACCACGTAGGTTTATCGCGTTCTGTCAGCGTATTATCCTATTCGACTTCTCGTGTTTTTTCACTCGCCGTTTTCAACACAGCGCTCCTTTCAATAACATGGCGTTATAACCATGATATGTGGGAGAAACAACAAAAATATCAACCGCCCATGACTGGGAATGGTTAGCGTACCAGCTATATCAATGGTGATGACTGGGGATAGCCCTGGAGTCCCGAGATTTTCCTGTAAAAAATGACTAGGAAAATCTTCGGCTGGGTTTTCTTGGGAAAAATTTCACCGGAAACCATGGATTTTCTCATGAAATGGCTGGAATTTTCCTGTAAATGTTCCCTTAAACCTATCCATGGACTGGACAAGGCATGATAATCCCAAATTGACCCAGTAGACGCACCAAAAGCATCTGCCAGTGGGCATTCCCATCGAGGGCATTGCCTGCTCGGATCTCAAGCAGAGCTATGACATGGCATCGGTGAACTTCCCATCTCTGCAAGCGCAGATTCATGGTGGATGCCTGATTCATCCTCACGTGGGCCGTCTCCGGTGCCCTGATTTAGCTTGTACAGGCACCCCATGCCAACCTTTCAGCCGCCAAAGAACCAAACGCAGCACCACCGGCAGCGTGGTTGGAGGAATCAGCCCAGCTGCTCCGCAAGCGGCTGCATTCGTTACTATTTCGGATGTGGGGTGAAGAATTTGAAGATGCGGGCCTGTGTTGAAACGGGATCTCCAAACTTCACGGTTTATCATGGTGTATATGATTTTTTTAAATTGCTTTTTGATGTTCATGTATCAACATGACCATATATCTGAACGAACCCAAATGTTAGACAATGCTTACATTCCAATCATTGCTGCATGGTGAAATAGCTCGTGTTTCTTTCTGCTTGAATCCCCTGCAAATTCTTCTGGATGAAATACAACGAGCTCACAAGAACGTCGCGAACGAGATGATGTGATTTTCGGAGATAACGTGGGCATCGGATGTCAGGTGAAAAATCAGGTGATTTTTGAGATATAACTCAGACAGGTGCTTGTGTGTTTCCAAATAGATCATCAAGCAAAACACAAGACGCACCCTCCGAGGTATAAAGTGGTGAAATTCTGCCGAACCCAACACAACAACTAATATGTATTATTGATCATAATCCATTACTAGCTGCATCCATTGTTTCCATCTAAACCAAACATTTCTAAGCTATCAGTGATGCATGGAATAAAAGTGAAATAAACCCAGGTCGCGACATCAGCCATTTCGCTCAGGAGCTGTGGTTGTGGTGGCGCCAATCAGCAGATGCCTTGGAAGAGCTTCAAGTGGTGGGAATGCCCAGATCATCGGTAGAACTGATGGCTTAATATTCACAGTTTGCGAACTGGAAAATCATCATTTTTAATAGGTATTTCCACTAGAAATGGCCATTTCCAATAGCTAACTCATGGATTTGTATGAGTTTAGTTCATTTTATTTCATTAAAAGATGGGTTGATATGGAACCACTGGGTGCTTAATAACGGTTCATAGTGGGCTACTATGGGATAGTGACCACTATGCATTCTGGATATTTATAAAGGGATATACTTACCACGATATTTCATGGGGCTTCAGCATCCTTTTGCAGGGTTTTAACCATCCAAAAATAAAAGGTGTAAACCAACCATACAGATATGGATGGGTTGTGCTGGCAATGGAAAGTTTACCGCTGAGATGTCCCAGCCATGTTTGATTATACTGAGTAAAACCGTTAATAATTAATCATTAAATAATATTGATATGATCTCAATAATCCATCTCATTGATATTATCTTATTGATATTATTGATATTAATGAATAAGCAAATGATAACAAATCTCATGTTTCTCCCAATTGAGCCATATCGAACTATCGTTAAACCACCATTGAATTCTTGTGTTGTTTTTTGGTGTTTTTTCGGCACCTGAGCGGCGGAGGTGGTGCAAAGAAGTCATCATGAAGCCACCCACAGGATTTAAAGATTTGACATGATTTAACACATAGTAAAGTTGATATATATCGACCCCTAAGCCCCACCATGTATAGCATGCGCAGGTAGGTCTAGTGTAGGTATGCCTTAGCGATGAGCCCAACAATGTCCAAGTAGTACACCCGAATGTATGTACAGCTAATGCCATCTACTTAGAAGCGATAAGTAGATGTAGTAGCCATAGGTAGAGGTAGGTACTTTCCCCTAACCCTAACCATAACCAGGGTCAGGGGATGACTAGGTACGCTGCCGACCCGGTGGCTCAAGCGCACAAAACAGCGTGTGCTTGTTTGGTTGTTTGATGCAGGGTTTGGCGGATTTGGTTCCCCTTTTCTTTTGGGTGCCCGGTTCGACCCCCTGTTTCACTAGTAATAATGAAACTGTTTAACCAACATGAAATTATACTGTATATCATTTCGCATATGTATATATATATATATAATGAGGATTTAACCAACAAATCATGGATATGTTCATGAGATATTCACTGTCTACGCCTTGAACGGCTTGGCCGCTTGGCCATGTGGGATGAATTTCTTTGCCGAGCCACAGAACAGGCTCTCGGAAAGAACAGGCTTCATAGGTAGATCATGAAGCTAAATGGTTGTAAATGGTTCATTTTCCGCAGCAAACGAGGGTAAATATGGTAAATGACCTGATACTTCCATTGACTTCCAAAAAATATTCCTATGAAATGTTGGTTAAACGCTTTTTTGCATGCTTAATGCCTATGAATTAGTAACGCTTTATTGAGACGGTTAACCCGGGACGCGTTTCTTTTTTTAGCCTGGTGGATTTTATGGAAACCACCAATGACTTACCATAGGCTGGGATAGGGATCTCATACCATGGTTATGGCATGTTTTTCACTATTGCCATGGCATCTGAGAATGTCTTGCGGGAGGAAGACTTGACTGAACAGTTTTTTGAGTGACCTATAGCTATAGCTGCGTAGCATTCTGGAGATTCAACGCATTCACCAGGTCAGGTTGAGGTTCCCAAACCACAAAAGATACCCCGTCAGGGAACCACCAAATGCGGGGTTTTTGGGGGTTGGGAAGGGGCCCCCAAACGATAGGTAGGCTGGTTTTCAAATGTTTGTGAGTTTATGAGTGAACGATTGGGGTTCCCTTTTTCCACATCATCCTCAAGGTAGGCGGCGCAAGCGCCGCGTGTAGTGTCACTGCAGCTTTAAGGTCCTTGACTACATGTTGAAGAAGGAGGCGCCAGGGTCACATCGGATGGACAAAACTGGGTACACAAACAGTCGGTTTCTAATTGGATAAGAATCAGCAATGGTGACTACAATGGGGGATGGGCATGACATCCAATATCCTTCGGATGCGAACAGGTCTGAGAATCCTCTCCCAGCAATCCTCAAAAAGATAGAAAAATCGATGAAAAATAGCATACCCTCTGGTAAACTAACATAGCTATCGAACATGGCCATAGAAATAGTAGATTTACCCATGAAAAATTGTGATTTTCCATAGCTATGTTAGTTTACCACAGGGTATGCTATCATTTTAAGGGTACTACTAGAAGGTCAAATACCTCCCCCATGAGTTTTGGCCTCCAATTTGGTTGTGCACCACCGGCACAACCAATTCCTCGGTGCTCGCAAGCTGCTTTTTCATGGGGCCTGGGGTGATTACTCAACCAGTAAGATCTGAGTAAATTGTAACTTATAGAGACCTTTTGACAGTCCTCGCCATAGATGATTCATAAGTAGAAGACAAAAATAGCGATCACTTCCAGCCTTTTGGGTTAGATACCTCACGAGCACTTGCACATTGTGCAAGAGGATTAAAAAACCAAAATGTGCCCGATAGATGTGCCCTTTGTTATTCGAGCCTGGCAATTGAAAATGGTCCCTGATCGATTTTCTTTATTTGATGACCCGACCACCAGAGGTTCTGACATACCCTTTGGTAATCAAACATGGCAATGGAAAATCCATCATTTAGAGTTGATTTTCCCAGCTATAAGCCTCCATTTACAGTAGTTTGGCGATTTCCCAGCTAGCCATGTTTGAGGACACCGTTGCGGGTATTTGCCGACGGGTGAAGGTGAAAATCAGCATATAAAAAATCATATAAACGCTTACACCTTAATTCGACATGGAACATCTTTTTGGGGCATATTCAACAGTAAAGACATCTTTATAGGTTCCATGTTGAATTTAGCGGATGTGAGGCTTTAGTCAAAGTCGGTCTCTCTCTGAATAGGACTTCAAGAATTGTTTCCAATGAAAATCTACGCAAGGTGGCGCCCTTAGACAGGTTTGCAAGTTGGTATGTAACTCATGTTTCACTGGTGTTTTTGATTATTTATTTGTATATAGATATATGATATGTCGCCTCTTGGTGTGTTTGGGGCCTCTTGTATGTGATGTTTATCCTCGTAACTGCTTCGGCCTCTTGTTCAGATGATTGCCAGTAGTACCGCGCAAGGCGGTGGCGGAAGGTTCAAAGATAGGAAACTATAGGAGAGGTGGGTTGTTGTGATGCATGGATGGCAGAGCGAATCCTCTGATCGACCAAAAGGTGGCTGAGTCTCTCTCTCTCTCTCTTTTTCACTCTCGCTCTCTATTTATCTCCCTCTCTCTCTATCTATATCGTTCTCCCTCTCCTTCGCGATCTCCATCTCAATCTCAATTTCCATCTCTGTCTGTCCGTCTGTCTGTCTGTCTGCCTGCCTATCTATCTATCTATCTATCTATCTACCTATCTTCCTACCTATCTATCTATCTACCTACCTACCTACCTACCTAAATCTATCTGTCTGCTTGTCTGTCTGTCTGTCTGTCTGTCTATCTGATGTCTCTCTACCTATCTGTCTATCTTCCTATCTATCTATCTATCTATCTATCTATCGATCTATCTATCTATCTTCCTATCCATCCTATCCATCCTATCCATCCTATCCATCCTATCCATCCTATCCATCCTATCTATCCTATCTCTCCTATCTATCCTATCTATCCTATCTATCCTATCTATCCTATCTATCCTATCTATCCTATCTATCCTATCTATCCTATCTATCCTATCTATCCTCCCTATCCTATCTATCCTATCTATCCTATCTATCCTATCTATCCTATCTATCCTATCCTATCCTCTCCTCTCCTCTCCTATCCTATCCTATCCTATCCTATCCTATCTATCTATCTATCTATCTATCTACCCATCTATCTGTCTGTCTGTCTGTCTGTCTGTCTGTCTGTCTCTCTGTCTCTCTGTCTGTCTGTCTGTCTGCCTATCTATCTATCTTTCTATCCGTCTATCTGATGTCTCTCTACCTATCTGTCTATCTTTCTATCTTTCCACCCATGCATCTTTCTAACTATCTATCTATCTGTCTATATGTCTATCTATCTATCTATCTATCTATCTGTCTATCTGTCTATCTGTCTATCTGTCTATCTGTCTATCTGTCTATCTATCCTATCTATCCTATCTATCCTATCTATCCTATCTATCCTATCTATCTATCTATCTATCTAGCGATCGATCGGTCGATCTATCTGTCTATCTACCTATCTATCTATCCATCCATCCATCCATCCATCTGTCTATTTGTCTATCTGTCTATCTATCCATCTATCTATCTATCTTTCTTTCTTTCTTCCTATTTAGCTACCTATCTATCTATCTATCTATCTATCTACCTATCTACCTATGTACCTGACTATGCGTCTATCTGTCTATCTGACTCTCTATCTATCTTCTATCTCCCGATCTATCCATCTCTCTGCCTGTCTATCTACCTGTCTAGCTATGTATCTATCTTTCTGTCTTTTACCTGACAGGAAGAAATTATGCGAGACTTCCTTCAATTGGCAAGTCCAAGGTGAAGCAATTCTGCGAGACATATTCAAAAAAGGATCGAGGTTCACAGCTCTAAGCAGCCGAAATTCCGCAAGACTTTCCTCATTCTTTCAAACTGACAACATCAAAAACGAAGCATTTCTGCGAGACATCCTGCAAGAATGGAAAATTGCACTGAGGTCGCAAAACGCGCGGCATTTGAAATTCAAAAAAGCAGCCACTTGCAGCCACTCGAGTGGCCGCAAGTGGCCGCAAGTGGCCGCTAGGGCAAGTGGCCGCAAGTGGCCGCAAGTGGCCACAAGTGGCCGCAAGAGGCCGCAAGTGGAAGCAAGTGGCCGCACGTGGCCGCACGTGGCCGGTTACTCTACTGGAAGGATTTGAAATTTCCAGAGCAGCATCACTTGCAGTCACTTGCAGCCATTTGCATTATTTGCAGCCACTTGCAGCCACTTGCAACCACTCGAGTGGCCGCAAGTGGCTGCAAGTGGCCGCTGGGGCAAGTGGCCGCAAGTGGCCGCAAGTGGCCGCAAGTGGCTGCTTGGACGGCAAATACCAGCCCGAATGGCCCCACCCTTGAAAACTTGAAAAAAATGCTTTTCTCGCGAACTGCATTTTTGTCAAGTTTTCTGTGAAACGCGAGGTGAGAGTTGAAACGAAAGGAAAGAAATAACAAATAGGAGGGAAGAGTTGAAACGAAAGGATGGATGCAACGAAATGGACGAATTGAAAGGAAAGGAAGAGCTAAACGAGCAAGACAGAAGTGTTGATACGAAGGCACAGACGCAACGAATAGAAAGGAAGAGTTGAAACGGAAGGAAAAACTTAACGATCAGGACATAAGAGTTAATACGAAAGAAAGGAAGTAACAAATGGAAGAGGAGACTTGAAATGAAAGAAAGGACGCAGCGAACGGAAAGGAAAAGTTGAGACGACGCAGGCAGAATTAAATCAGAAGGAAGGACGGAGCAAACGGCAGGGAAGAGTTGAAACGAAAGGAAAGAAGAAACGAACGGGATATAAGACTTGAAACGAGCGGACGGAAGTAACGCATAGTAGGGAAAAGGTGAAACGAAAGGAAAGACGCAATGAACGGAAACGAAGAGTTGAAACGACACGAAGAGTTGAAACAAATGGGAAGAAGTAACGAACGGAATATAAGACATGGAACGAAAGGACAGAAGTAACGCATGGAAAGGAAGAGGCGAAACGAAAAGAAGGAGGCAATGAACGGAAAGGAAACATTGAGTTGAAACGAAAGGAAGGACACAATGAACGGAAAAAAAAAATTGAAAGCGGAAACACCTAAAATCAGTTTGGTTCGGCCGGTTCGCGGCTGTTGTTTGTCGACCGGGTATACGCTTGTGCCCCCTACAGGGAAGAAAGGAAATATGTTTTTTTCGAATTTTATCGCTTTTACCGTGGGTGTTGGTAATTTTTTGATTCGTGGATGCTGGTTAATTTTTCGGTGCTTACCACTGTTCACCGCCTGTGTATAGCAAACCCTTGGCACTGCTTCACCAGATTTCCAGCACTTTTGGTTCGATCCGTATCATGTTTTTCAGCCAAAGGGGAGAGATGAATTTTATCATCGTTAGGTTGAATGCTTTTGTTATAATCATCCAAGTAGGAAATCTCTTGGACCACGGCCAGCAATGAACGACTTGAAACGAAGGGAAGCAGTAAGTAAGGAACGGGATGTCAGAGTTGAAACGAAAGGAATGAAGTAACGAATGAAAGGAGAGAGTTGAAACGAAAGGAAGACAGTAACGAATGAAAGGAAAGAGTTGAAACTAAAGGAACGGCCGAACGGAAGGGAAGAGTTGAATTTGAAAGGAAGGAGGTATATAAGGAATGAAAGGAAAGAGTTGCAACGAATCGACGAAAGAATTAAAGTAACGAACAGACTGTAGGAGGCGTAAGAGGTGAAACGAAGAGGAAGAAATAACGAAGGGGGTTTATAAACGAGGTGAAACGTAAGGACGGACGTAACGAAATGAACGACTTGACAGCAAACGGAAGGAAGGAGTTGAAACGAAAGGAAGGAAGTAACTAACGTGGGGGAGTGTTGAAACTTAAAGAAGGAAGTAACAAACGAAATAGGCTAGTTACAATAAAACATGTAAGCCATTATCATGCCAAATGGTGTTTTCAAATCTTGTTGGTGTTTTCACATTGGTTTATATTTTAAAAAACCTTGTCCCATATACATCATACTTGTGTATACTACATTCCCACCATACTTCATCCTGCCTTGTGATGTCCAACTCTACCTGCCACAAATCATCCCCTCCTGCGCTTACTTTCCCTACCATACTTCATCATATCATCATACTGGGCCTGGTATTTTGTATGTTTTTGAAGGAACATCAAAGCCAGTATTATTTTGTATCTA